GATATTGGTAATCGTCAAAATGCAATTAGTTTCCGTGATGTCCTATAAACCTGTTTTTTGTAGAGATCACGCTAAAACCACAGTTTCGCGCACCTTCTACGCACGAACCAAACAGGGCAACCTATGCGCCCGCACCCAAATAATTACGTATACTATTTTCGGGGTTCCTTGTTATACAAGAAGAATAACGGGCCCCAAAACCCGTATTCTAATTATTAAGGCTCCTGCATTAATGTGGGTTTGGCAGTGCAAGCTCAAGCCACTTGAAGCTTAAACTGGGTGCCTGGACCGAGTAACGAGAAGCCTCGACATGAACGGCACAAAAGCGGATCCTGGGAGCCAAGCCCGTGTCAGACAATCTAGGTCCCGGCCTAGTAGATCCATGGGCTTTTTGTACGTTTGTTACATGGCGTGTTGTTATTGTGGCGAACCCTATATGTTTGTTCTTACAAGAAAAGCCCTGCCAAAGACATCGCCTAATATAGGGGCTTGAATAACTAGAATAGGGTTTGGGGGTATATCACACTATACTAATACATGTAATAAGGAACCCCCAAATGCCCAAACCCTATTCTCATTATTAAGGCCCCTACATTACATTTGAGGCTCCGACCTCTTTATTGTGCAACTCGGAATCCTCGGCCCCCCGAAACCCGAAGCCACGGCCAAGACACCCCGAAGCCCTTAACCAAAGCCTAAAGCCTGAAGCATGCTAGAGCTGCCTGGGTAATTTAGTATAGTATTTTGGCGGGGGGCTCCTTACTATAAGTATGGTATAAGATGCCCCCAAAGCCCAAATCTAATTATTAAGGCCCCTACATTAAACCCAAACCCAACATCCAGGAAGCCCTAAACCCTACCTGTGGCCCAAAAGACTATACACGTATATAGAAACCATAACAAGGAAGCCTAAAAAGGTAGGTCTTTCCGGCCAACACTCAGAAAGCCTTAAACCCCTAAAGAAAAAAGCAAAAAAACGAAGGCCCTAAGTCTCCGGAGCAGGAGCCTCCTGTGGGTCCCTTTCACTTCCGGGTGGCGCTGGCCAGCGATGGCAGCATCGCCGTACTTCTGGAGGATGCCTTTAAGGGTTCAGGGTTTTGGCTTTAGGGACTT